CTCCTCCTCCTTGTGAACACAAGGGTCAGAACTAGATTTTGAAGCACATGATTTAAAGAACATAAGGTTTAAAAATATAAAAACTGTGGATGACAAACATGAAAAGTCAGTACAGCTTATTAGATCTGAGCCTACTTAGAAACAGATGCCCTGCTTATCAAGAAATCTTTTATCCCATCCTCCTGACTTACCTCAAAAGTTTTTAAAATTTTCTCTATTCAGTGGACTAAAATTGTGCCCCTAGAGAAATTCCCATATTGAGGAAGAATGGTTGATTTTGTTAGAACATATAATAGCGTGGAATGTATTCCTTATCAGAGATGCACATAGAAGTATTTGTGGGTAAAAAGACTTGATGTCTGGAATTCACTCTCAAATACTATCAGAAAACAGGAACTTGAGAGAAAATCAGAATTAGAAAATACAACTGTTCAGATTGGTAAAATATTAAGGAGGGTTCAGCATATTGTTTTTCTATTTTGTATGCTTGAAATTTTCATGAAATGTTAAAAAACAAAACCTTATCTTAAAAAACAGAGTGTAAAGTAGCTTTTCCATAGATTGTCTTGAACAGCACAATGCAGGAGAAACCCAAGTCCATTGCTATTGTGTCATGTTCCAGCCCACAGCTGCCCTATAGGGTTTCCAAAACTGTCTACCTTACGGAGCACACAGCTTCATCTTTCTCCTGTGGAGCAGGGGGTTAGAACTGCTGACCTTGTGGTTAGCAACCCAGAGGGCCACCATGGCTCCTAAAGTACATGCCCACACCAAGACCCAAACCAAAACACACTGCCATGAGTCCAGTCCCACGTATAGTGACCCAACAGTTATGTCTTCATCCGTGACACGCACGGTCAGCACTGAAACTGCCGAGGAAGACGGGCCTTTCGACTCGGCAGCTGGTCATCATGTGGCTATTGATGTGGTCCCAGATGACTTATGTATTCTTGCCCACAATGTTTGCCCTGAGCTTACTCACAACCAATCAAACACAACAAGATTATGGTCAGTTCTATAAGAACCCAGGCCTGGACTTTCATTGGAGGGTCAGAATCATGAAAAACAGAAAGGCAGAGAAGACTGCTCCATAGTGGAAGAAGCGAAGGAAACAAAATCACCGAAAGTAATCTGTGATCCGGAAAGGGTCTGTTTTTGTTTTTTTCTGAAACAGCTATAAGGAACATTTTTGGAACAGAGAGGGAACTTAATTTTCGTTTGTGTACTAGTTGATATTATAGAATTAATGTTCATTTTCTTAAGTGTGAAAATGACATTATGGTCATGTTGTAAAGATGAAATGTCAGTTTTAAAAGTCAAGGAGAACATTCAAAACAATGAAAGATCTCAAATCAACAGCCTACCTAACTTCACAATTTGAGGCACTGAAAAGCAAAAAGTGCAAATACACCTAAAGCTACCAGGAAGAAAGAAATAACATATCAGAGTAAAAACAAATGCAACAGAGAACAGAAAACCAATTCAAAAAACCAATGAACCTCAAAGTTGGTTATTTGAAAAGCTTAACAAAATCAACAAATCGTTTGCTGGAATGACAAAAATAAAGTTTAAATAAACTAAAATCCAAAACGAAAGTGGGGATATTACTATCAACTCTTCAGATAGAAAAGGAAAATAGGAAAATACTATGGACAATTGCATTACAACAAATTTGATAAATGGACTACCTAAATTGACATAAGAAGAAACAAGATTTAAACAGACTCATGACAAGTAAAGAGGCTGAGTCGGTAATAACCGAACTGAGGTAGTTGCAAGTTAGGCAGTCAAACTCACCGGCTGCCCTGAGGGTTTGAAAAAGCCTGTCTGCTCCGGTACAGCTTCACAGCCTCGGAAACTCAAAGGGGCAGTTCTACTCTGCCCTACAGGGTCGCCAGGACTTGGAATTGACCTGATGAAAGTAGGTTTGGTTTGGATAGCCGTAGGGTAGAATATTACCCAGGATTTTTGAAAGATGCAGTATTGATTCAGGCTATACCAATTCATGGGAACCTTGAAAAGATAATGTTAAGTCAGTCACAAAGGAGCCATCCAGTCTCAAAGGACATTATTATCTGATTCCACTTACAGGAACATCTAAAATAAGCAAATCAATAGGCACTGAATAGCTAAAGGATATTTAGCTGTGCTTTATTGACTATTCAGAGACACTTGGTTGTGCAGACCATAACAAATTATGGTTACTATTGTGAAGAATAGGAATTTCATAACACTTAACTATGCTCACGGGTAACATACATAGACCGAGAGGCAGTCATTCAAACATAAGAAGTCGATACTACCTGGTTAAAGATTTTAAAGTCGAGTCCTGTCACTCTACTTAATCAACGCATGTGTTGAGCAAATCAGCCGGGGACTAGATGGACAAGGACACAGCACCAGACTCGGAGGAGGACATCAGTCGCCTGCAATATGCACATAACACAGCTTGCTTGCCGACAGTGAAGAGGGCTTGAAGCACTTATTGCTGAACTTTAAAGCGTACAGGACGGAATACAATCCGACATAAAACAAAAATCCTCACAACTGGACCAATGAGCAACATTATTGATAAATGCAGAAACTATTGAAGGTGTCAAAGATTTTTCTTTTACTGGGATCCACAATTAATAGCTAAGGAAGGAGTCCAGACATCACACATGTACTGGGTTGGGAAAACTTGCTTCTTGAAACTTCTTCAAAGTCTTAAGAAGCATAGATACCTCAAGAACTAAGGTGCACCAGACTCAATCCATGATATTTTCAATAACCCAATATGCACATGAACGTTGGAAGACGAGAGAAGAATGGACACATATCTATTATGGTGCTAGTGAAAAATACTGACTACACCATGGACTGCCCTAAGAACGAACACATCTGTCTGGGATGAAATACAGCCAAAATGCTCCTTAGAAGTGAGGGCAGCAAGACTTCCTCTCACGAGCTTCAGACATAGAATCAGAAGGGACCCGGCCCTGGTAAAGCAGAGGGCCAGTGAAAAGAGGAAGCCTCTCAACAAGGCGGGCTGACGCAGTGGCTCAGCAGTCGTGCTTGTGAGGGCAGTGCAGCGTTTCTCTGTTGAGACACAGGTCGCTGTAAGTCAGAACTGTACCTAACAACAACAGCCATCACCATAAACAGTTTTAGAATATTTTCATTGCCCCGTAAAATAACCCAGACCCATTAGCAGTCAGTCCTCAGCCTCCTCACCCCAACTCTATGCAACCATATTCTACTTTCAGTGCCTATTGCATTCTACTCTTCTTTCCGTATTAGAATTTTTTCAAAAAGAACAAGGAGAAAATAATGCTAAGAAGATGTGGTTTGGGCAAATGAGCACTGACATCCTTTCACATAACAATGGTTTACTGTTTCCTAAGTGAGTGAATTCTGACTGGAGGATTAGGAAGTAACCAAAATTGCTAGACAACCACCCACTGAATCAGAAAACGGACAGCCAGAGACACCCACCTGGTTGGGAAGTATCAGTCCATCCCCTCTTGGCTCGCACACAGTAATCCCATCTTGTGTTGGGGTCCTGGACAAACTTTCCAATATCTCTGAAGAGTTCACAAAAAGACATCTGACTGGCCTGGTAGACAGTGTAGTAGAGGAGGGCAGCTCGCCACAAGAAGGGGTCTTTTCTAAACAGGACACTGTGAATACTTGCCAGGCCTTCCTCCGTGGGGTTGTTGGGCTTCAGCTCGTGTTTTTTACGGCCAGTCCAACTGTTCCAGGGTTGTTGGAGGTTGTTAATGCCTCGGAAATAATGTGTGCCTGTGGAGAAAGAGAAAACGCACATGAATCACATGAACTCGAGTTCTTGTTTTAATTAGTCTCCAAAAAAGCTATCATCAAAATTCTAAATCCCAATTGACGTGTGCTTCCCAATCAAAACAAGCAGGAAACAACCTGACCTGAAAGACTGGGGGAAATCCCATGCCTCAACTTCCAGCCACAGGATACAGGGTAGACCGTAACCTCAAAGGTATGGATTCCTTTAAACAATGACCATACGAGAGCAAAAGGACAGCACGTGTTTAGGGATACAGCTCAGAAGAATGCAGAAAGTGAGAGGGGAGTAGGGAAAGTGCTGTTACATTGTAGGGACTGCAATCAGTGTCACAAAACAAAATCTCCCTGAGTTATTGAGAAGAAAACCAATGTGCTCTGTAAACGTTCACCAAAATTACCATAAAAAGTTAAAAAAATAAAAGTGAGCAAAATAGACATGTCTCCTAAGAGGAGGTATGTAACCTTTATAACAAGTTACCTTTTTAAAAGGGAAGAGTCATACACTTAATATTTGAAAAGAATCTTTAAGAGTTCTTTATCCAACTCTAAGGAATAAACATCAGGAATTGGGGTTAAGTGATTTTCTAAGCCTAATACAGCTAAACAGAGTTCTAAAAAAAAAAATCTAATTTAATTTGAAATGATATATTAGCACATTAGCTTTAGTCCTGGTGATATTTATGACTTTTTGCCTTTCATGAAAACAAAAACCCTTTGATGAAAACCCCCATTACTATAAATGGGCAGAGGAAAGGGCTGGCCCTACCGATTTCATGCCTCAGCATTCCCTCCAGCCAGTGCTCACGTGCCGTGGAAACATTGATGGTGAGCGTGGGACAGCCGTTTACTACTGTCATCGAGGCTCGGGAGAGCAGGTCTTCTGTGAGGTGAACAACGATCTAAGACGTGAGAAGAAAAAATATGTTTATATGAAATAAAAAGTGAGGTGGGGGGGGGGCTTTCACAGAAAACCATACCCCATAATGTAACATTTCCGTGTTTGCTTGTTTACAGACACCTTGAATCTCCCAGAAACCAAGGGACAAAATGTAGAGCCAATCCTCCTTGAGCTTAGGGATTTGAGCGTTTGGGAGCCCAAGCACTGGCACTGGGTCAGGAGGAAAGCAGACAGCGTGCTGAGGAGACAGCGAACACTCAAAGCTGCCCCTGCTGTCCTCTCACACATGGGCCCTGACTAACACCACCAAAAGGGGGACACAGTAGCCAGAGTCCTGTTCAGTGTAGGTGACCGGCTACTAAACTTCCTCCTAATAGAGGAGAGGCTACCTGGACCTTTGTCTCCATTCAGCATTCTCACAGACAACCCAAGAAGCATACAAGTTGTGCAGAAATGGCAGTAGGAAATGAAGACTGGGAGGACAGCGAGAAGGACACAATAATTCTCTGCACCAGGAACTTAGGTGTCTCGTGTTTAGTGAGAAGCGTAACGAGTAGGTTTGGGGAGACAGAACCTGCAGGAGAACGTGATGTTCCAGCCACCTCCCCCACCCACACACTCTTACCTCACCCAGGCAGCCTTCTTTGGTCATGTACTTCCTGACGTGGCTCCAGATTCGCGTCTTAGAGAGCAGACTACCACCAGTGGCCTGCTCAAATTTTTCGTAACTGCCATATTTCTGTAGAGTCAGCTCCATAATATTGATGGCCTGTAAGGAAACACAGATCAAGAAAGTGAGTAGCCTCATTACTTTGAGATGAGTAACCAGGGATTATGTATGTTGTGGGGGGGGGGCCTTCAAAAAGTTTGCAGGGAAGTTCCATTTCTTTCAAATTCCATGTCCCCTCAAATTTTTGAAGCCCCCTCATATTTATTACAACCTGTTCTGTGATTATTGCCTTCTAGATTAAATCGTGATTAAATTAACACTTCTTTCTAAGCCTAAACAGCTGACTCATTTTCACCAATGTCTGTGAACGCATAAAACAGTGGCTCTCTTTCCCTGCACTCCTTTCGCTCAACTGCTGACAGCGAGGGGTTCACGTACCACACTGTCCTCATTATGCAGGCTGAGAGGGAGGGCAGGGAGGTTCGTGTGGTGATTGGACAGAACTCAGAGTGGAAAGTGTGCTTCTATACTAGCCAATGATGACAATCACCATCTGGATTAATGGAGAAAAAGACCCCAAAGTTTTAACAAGTCTTTTATGAAAACCCCGCAAAAGCTAATGTTTTATTGAGCTACTCTTTTTTAAAAAAAAAATCAGAAAACAGTTCCCACATTATTAAGAACACTTTTCCTCACCTCTCACTCTGGGCTATTGACTACTTCTTCATGAGTTTTCCCATCATAGGGACATGAGAGGTGATACAAATGCAGAACAAAAGACACACACAGACACACACACACACACACACACACTGGCAATGAGTCTTCGTGGGATCATCAGTATTTGTAGGAAAAGCCTCTTGGCCTAAATAAATAAACAACACCCCCCCAAATCTATTGCTATAAAGTCAATTTTGACCCATAAGGTTTCCACAACTTGCCTAACAGAGAGGAAAATCATAACAATGTTGGAAAATGCTCATTAAAGACCTTTTGACTCCCTTATCCCCAAAGGAATGGCAAAATGAACCAATTTCCAAGTTACGGTCCTTTATACCTGTGGTAGTTACATAATTTCATATCAACATGAAGATATATAAAAGTGTAGAGGTGGAGTTCAGTCTACCAATCGCTTGATGGTGACTCCTTGTGGGTGTGGCCTTCTCATAACCAGAGTCCTGGGACCCCCCCCTCTATGTGCCTTCACCTTCCTGATGGTGAACCCTGGTTGCAGGAGCTATGTCCACCACCACTGGATCCCCGGACTTTGCACCCACTGGCCAGAGATATTCCTTCATTCTGCATCATTGCAAGTGGATTCATGATTCTGAACTAGTGATTATGGACTAGGATCAGACATATGGACTTAAATCAGACTGGGCTGGGATGTTTTCCTGATATACAATTACTTCTTAATATAAAGCTCTTTCTTACTGTATTAGTCTGGGTACTTTAGAGAAACAAATGCACAGAAACTCATGTATAAGAGAGAGTTTTATATAAAGGTTAAATGCACATGAAGAAAACATCCCCACCCAGTGCTGCCCAAGCCCACAAGTCCAATATTAACCCATTAACCCATATGTCCAACACCAATCCACAAAGTCCTCCTCCATCTCACAAAACAGACGCAATGATGCCGACTGCAGGAGGAAAACCGAGTCAGTGAATGTGTAAGCATCTCAGTGCTGGCAGGGTCTCCACACGGCTGCTCCAGCACCCAGGGGTTTATCGGGGTAGATCCATGTGGCTTCTCCTAGGGATGTCTTGCAAGAAGTCAGCCTTGCAAGCTAAAGCAGGGAACTGCTAAGGCTGGTCCAACCATCAGAAAGCAAGAGACTGGACAACTAGAAAGGCGAGGCTCACCGCCGAGCCATTTATCCCTCGCCCTTCAATTAACCCCACATGTGTTTATCGGCCAGGTTGGCACCATAAACTAACTACCTCACTTACACATATATGAGTGTCATTGGACTTGTTGCTGTAGTCAACCCAGCCTAACACAATACCTTATTTGCATCCTGAGAAGCATGGATGGAAAAACCATATCAAGCAATTTCACTTCACCACTGTCCCCGCTGGAAAAATATTGATTACTAATAAACTAGGCAGGAATCAAATTATATCAGGAAATCGCTCCAATAGTCAGTGCTCAGCTTCTTTTCCCCAAGCCAACTTTTAAAAGCCTTACTATTTCAACCGTGGTCCAGAGGCCAGAGCATTATCATCACCCTAGAGCATGTTTCAAATATAGGATTTGGGCTGCCAGTCACCACCACCCCTCCCGCCCCAACCCCAGGGCCTACTGAATCAGATCCTTCAGGTAATTAAAAAGATCCTCAGGTAATTTCTGTGCACATTAAAACGTGGAAGTATCACAGCAAATAGAGAATTTGGTACAAACGCGCTAGCAATTGATTTATTAAATGACAACCAGCATCATTTAAAGCACAGATTAGATTAGCACAAAATTAAAAACTCAGTTTTGCAAAATTGTTTAGCAAAATCTCTAATGATCATAAAACAACTACTTTAAGCACTAGCGTGACCCAAGCCATGGCATTGTCAATCGCCTCATGTGCATGCAAAATCTGGGTCATGTATGAGGAACGCTGAAAAAGAATTGATGCACTTGAATTACAGTGTTGGCCAAGATTATAGGAAGTATCATGGACTGACAGAAGAACAAACAAGCCTCCCTCAGAGGAGGTACAGTCAGGATGCTCCTTAGAAGCAAGGGCGGTGAGATTTCATCCCTTGTGCCTTGGATTTATCAAGAGAACCCAGCCCCAGGGAAAGGTGTCATGCTTGGTAAGGCAGAGAATTGGCAGGAGAGAGGACGACCTTCATTGAGATGGTCTGACACAGAGGCTCTACCAACAGACTCACACATGGCTGTGAGGACGGGGCAGGGCAGGGCAGTGTTTCCTTCTGTTGTAGATCCTGACCTGGTAATACTTAACAACAACATTCACTAGAATAGACATAAAGGAGTCAAGAGAATTAAGAACTCAAACACTGGTGATCCTCCCTAGCACAGATCACTGATATTACCAGATGCCTGAGTGAACATATTCATTATAAGATTATAATTAGTATATATTAGTAGATGCCTGAGTGAACATATTCATTATAAGAGCAAGATTAGGAATTATGCTGGGAAAATGACCTGTGGACAAAGATGAAGAAATTGTATCTTGACAATTACATGTTTCCCACTGATGCTGACCTGACTGACTTATAGCAACCCTGTGGACAGAATTAGACCTGCCCCTAAGGCACCCTAGACCGTAAATCTTTGGAAGCAGATTACCACACCTTTCAATCCTGAAAAACAGCTGGTGGGTTTGAACCGTGCATTCGGCAGTCTAATGCTTAACTCACTGCACCACCAGTGCAGATTACTTTATACTTATGCAACATTTTAGCCAAGATTTATACCTATGCACTAATTATAAGACAAGGACGTGGCATAATTCAGAATAAAGTTATAATAGTAATGAACCCACTTAACTATTAAAAAAATAAAGTAAAAATCTCTCGGTTATGTGGGATTAGAAAACCAGAAATAATTGTTTAAAGAAATACTAATGAACCACTCAGGTGTTTTTTTCTTTGTTTGTTTGAATCAGCAAAATGTACATCAACTCAATGGTTTCCACATGTACAATTCAATGACATTGATTTTATTCTTTGAACTGTGAAACCATTCACTCTCTCCTTTTCTGAGTTGTCTCCCCCACTCCTCTAACATAAACTTACTGCTCTTTAAGTCCCTAGCTCATCGTTTGAGTTCCTTGCAATTTGATCCTACACAGATTTGAAAAGAGCACCCTGTTCAAGGCTGCACTCTTTACTGGTGAAACTACTGTTTGGTTCTCAGAAGACTTCAGAGGTGTTTTTGGTTTAAAGCTTAAAGATTATCTTAGGGCAACAGTTTCTGGGGTTTATCCCCTTCTATGGCCCCCCCCAAAATCTGGATTCCCAGAAAGTCTGAAATTCGGTTCTACATTCCCCCTTTGATCAGGATTCTTCTACAGAACCTCTGACCAAATGTTCGGTCATGGTGGCCGGGCACCATTCAGTTTTCGTGTTGTCACAGAAAAGCAGGCCACTTTCTGGTCTCGTGGGAGATGGCACATATCTCATCTCCTCCTCCTCGTGCTGATGGTCCTGCTTCCTCGGTTGCTCCAGGTGGATACAGATCGATGGTCAGGCCTTGCCAGGATAGCCTGAATGGCTGGCTAGCTTCGGAGACCACAAGCACTCTGCTAGGAAGTAGGAGGTAGAACAAAGCACTAAATACTTTATTAGGCCAATTAACTGGGATGTCCCATGAAACCATGACCTAAACCTCCAACCAGGAAACCAAAATCCCATGGGATGTTTGGTTAAACATAAACAGCCTCAGCAGCTACCTTTTTTTTGGTCATTGTTTATAAAAACATTGATCACCCAACTTTTGCCAATTCAACTTTCTTTATGGGTGTGCTATATTGAATTTACTGACAGTAACTACATTAATCAACTATGCACTCAGGCCACTTGCTAATTAGTCACTAATATCTCCTTTTAGGGATATACACATTTAAAAGGAATTGCATAGGAAGGCACTTAAACATTGAACCGGATAATTTCTATAGATTTTTCATCAGGGCAGGTTGCCGCGGGGGAACTGTGTTACTGAGGTCATCTCCAGGAGCAGACAATCACTCTCTTCTTCTCTGTAGAAACGAGCCTTGACCTGCTCACAGGCACCAAGGAAGCTCTGTTTCCTTACGACTTTGAGAATACCAAGAATACGTATTTTATTCATATATGTAAATGATGTGACATTACATATTTCTGACAGTTTTAAACGTACAAGCAGTCCCCAGGTTAGGAACATCTGACTCGTGTACAAGCCATGGTTAAGAACCAAACTGTCAAGTCTATTATATTAAAAACTCAAGGAAATAACAAATTTGTTATAACAAATAGGTGCAATTTTGTGAGGGACATGGGAACATTGTTATTATGACTATTGTTTTATCATGTTAATGTATCTGGAACTATTTCTTTAATTTTTTTGTATATAGAAAGAAAATATCACTAAAGCA